ATTACAAACATGCTTCTCCGCAAAAGCAGCTTATATTCTGCTAAACTACAATGGCAAAGTAGACTGAACCCGCCATGATACTGTGCTCTACTGCTCAATGTTCTCCTGCCTTCGAGCTAATTTGTGCAATATGAAGCGAGTGGCAATTACTATGGAATACATTTGGTAATATTTTTTTAAACTGCCTTTTTTCAGAAAATAATTGATACACATTCGAGACACAATGCCTCCCCCCCCCGAAACAAATATTATCCTTGTAAATTTACAAGGGAACAAATTTAAGCTCCCGGAATCAACGAGTAGCAAGAAATAGGCAGTCCAGTGAATTTTTATAATTTAATGATGCTCCTAGTGCGAAAGTGACACTATAACATTTTGTTACAACTCCTGCTTCTGAAAACATATATATTGCATATATTACATTCTTGATAACAGTTAGAACTTATATTACAAGAAAATCTATAAATAGTGGTATGCAGTACAATTTTGTTTATTTTTATTTTTGTTTAAACTTGATCGTGAATCATATACAAACAATTCCGAGGATTGGGGCAGTGGTTAGAATATAACTGAACTGTGATGAAAACATTTGTTTTTGACATGTAACTGTAGCATTCTGGGTTATTATATAATGCAGTGTGAGATGAAGTTGATAACTTAAGCAGGAAAAGAACTCAGTGAATTCTGATATCCTTCTGTCGAAAAGCCAGAGATTATACCGGAGTTTGTTATAGTATATATTGATGATGGGATAGAATAGTGAATACTTTGGGGACAATTGACAATATTCCTTGTGTTCCTGCATTCTTGAGTTGGCCACGTTATCCGCATGGAAAAGGTTGTGTGATAATTTTATTTTATTTTGAGTGGTCTTAGAAGCAGACGAATGTTAGCAATGATGTAGTACATGAGTACTCTACTGTAGTAAAGATATTTATAGGTCAACTGTTTTAAGAAACATACTTCAATATCTGTGTGGTGTAATAGTTAACGATTATAACAGTTGGTCACGTGGCATTAGGGACAATGATTTCAATTCATTGTGTTTGATGTTCAGACACCGGGCTTATCTCTGTTTATTGAATATGCCTGACCATATCATTGCAGACCTGAACATATCGAGAAATACATGTTGAACACATGTTTGAGAGCATGTGGGTCTCTCCTAATTATAAACATTGCCTTCTACGACGAGCAGAGATATATTCACATTATTGTAGCTATAAGCGATGGGTAAGAATAATTGCCACCGACTACATAAAGGCTCTACACATATATTTGTTGTAATTGTCACAAATGCGTTTGGTAACTAGGTTACAGTTGCAGTAATGGGTTTATTTATGCGTGTAACCTTTCTACTAAAGCGGATCAAAAACAAAATAAGCCGTCACGCACATTAATAATTCAATAATCAACTGTGGTATATGTATTATTTAACAAAATCCGTTTCATATCTAGTAAACGTTACAGGCGAATTGAGGAAGTTGCCTCTCTATGTGCATTGTTCGAAGCGTATCTTCAAAAAATTACCTAGTTAATATAATATTCTAGTCTATAATTCGTAACATAATATTCATTGTAGACTCACTCACAGCAGGTGATACTGCCTTGTTCATAACGATGACATACAGCATGGGATAATGGTTTATATTAAGTAGGCATATACGCAAATAAGTGTCATTATGACAACTGGGCTCAAGAATTGTGTGCTATGATTATAATAACAGTAGATGGCACAATAGTTTGTGTGTTCAAGACTACTGGCTCAACATCAGTCGACCGACTCGGCAGTGTGAAATTAAGTACATAGCTGTACTGGTCTACATCAAGGCTGATGGGGTAGGGAACAGTACGGTGTGCTGTTTCCGACGCAAGTGCTCGTTAAACAAATATAATATTACCATGATGTTACAAAAATGTAGCGTGCGTTCGATGGGACTGTCATTATGTATGAATGACATTAGATACCGACAAGCTAGTCGTGTCTACCTCTCAATATATGAAGATTTTCTTACAATATTACGAGGATATCTCAAAGTATGCAGGAA